CTTTATGTACATGCGGCTTGGGTCACATGAGGTTTGCCACATCACCCCGCATACAGCCACAGTCATCCGGGTGTCCCTGTGGGGGATCCCAAGGGCATGTGCAGCACGCACGCATGCTGGGTTGCACCGCGAGGTCATCCGGGTCGTCCAGGGCTGGGTGTGTCATGTGCGCATCATGGGTGGGTCAATAATACATAGGTATGGGGAAAGGTCGTCCGTGTAGATAAAGATAGGAGAAAGAACAAAGGAATAAAAGAACAAAAGGATGGAAAGAAGAACAGGAGTTGAGGAACCGTGATGAAGGGTGGGGAGTAGAGGTGAGCGGGATACCGGGTCAGGGTGGGTGGAGCCGGGTCAGGCAGGTGTGCCCTGACACCTGTGGGCCATAGAGAGGGGTCATGGGGACCCAGGGTCTGTCCCCTGACAGATGGAAAGGAAAGAGTCAAGCCCAGATCTAGAGATGGTGCGATCAATTGGGTGTCACATGACATGACATTTTGAGTCCGGAATTACTTGGGATCACTCAGGAGCTGTGGGAGCTGTTGAGAGCTTGGGAGTACGCAGCCTATCTCCAGAGCACTCCTGAGTGCTCTAGAGCCATACCGGTTTTCGTGACGCTGTGTGTTCTGCATGCCACCTGTATGTCCATATCTGAGTCTGTTTCAATGCCATGAACTTCTCCCCTTTTCTTGGCACGTCACTCCTGTTGGAGAATGGATATCTGTTCCCATCGGTATTGTCAGAGACCAGATCAAGATGAAGGAAGGTCTCCATGGCGGAGGGCTTCGGCCTCAGCGACCTATGCCAGGAGCACTGTGCCAAGTTGTTGGAATTTGTACACATGGTCTTTGTCAGGGACTGACCCAGGGTCGAGAGCGTCCGGGTATATCACCCGGGGCTGAGGGCCCGGTAGGGTGCGGTGCGGGCATGTGTAACAACGGGCCCAAAGCAGGCGAGGGTCCGTGGCCACTTAGTGTCAGGGTTCAGCACCCTGCCCTAGGGTGCCCCAGACTCCCCAACCAATCCCTTCCTTCCATTCCTTCATTGTTGCCTTGTTGTTGCCTTTCTGTGTTGTGTATCCCCGCACATGGGATAGCGTGGGAACTTTCTGAGCGAGCAGCTCACCCAGAATGTTCCCACGGGTCACAGCCACAGTTCTGGGTGAGCAACTCACCCAGAACGTTCCCACGCTTACTGGGCACTGCCACCTGGATGTTCCCTCCAGGTCACACTACACAACTCTAGGAGCTGTATAGTTGTGGGCATGTGACCCATTCCTTTATATAGCAACCATGCGGGGAGATGAGACCTTTACCCTTCTTCTCATCTCATGCCCTGCATAGGCAAGTGTATATATTATCTTTCCTTTTACTATACATCTCATGCCCCGCATAGTGTGAGGACAGGCCAGATGGGGGTTGAGGTCAGGGAGCCTCCGAGTCCGAGGCCGGGCCCTGACACTTAGACTAAAGTGGGAAGTGTGAGAAGAAGGTTGCTTCTCAGTTCCCACTTAGGCTGTGTTTATGTACATGCGGTTGGAGGTCACGTGGGGAGTGCCACGTCATCTACATGCACAGCCATGTCTGCCCAGGTATCTCTGTAAGAGGTCTCAGGCGTGTCTGGTGTGTAGGGCGTCACCCGGTGTGTCTGGGTCCAGGCGTGTTGTGCAGCCTGGTTAATGGTACATCGAGCAAGGAAGTCATCCATGTAGTAGAAAAGGAAAGAAGGAGAAAGAAAGGAAAGAAGAAAGAGAAGGGAAAGGGAAAGGGAGAAGGAGAGAAAGGAGGGGGGAGGATGGGGGCAGCAGGTGAGGATAGTGGGATCGGGTGGGGTCGGACCAGGTGGAGTGGGGTCAGTGTCAGGGGACAAACCCAGGTCCCCATGACCCCTCTCTCTATAACCCAGAGCCTGACCTGTAACAGCCCATCTCAGGGCACAATGCTACTGTGGGTAAGAAAGTGAATAAGATAAAGGCAAGTAATGTACACTTGCCTACTGTCAGGGCATGGGAAAACGTTACCGTGACTCGCCGTCAGCGACCATTAAGGTCCGCTGCTTCGGCGTAACAGCCCGTCAAGGGCAGGGATGACAATCGTGGTGGAAAGGGGTTTCGGCTTCAACAACTCGTTCGTGAGCGTTGTGCCTCGTACTTGATGTGGCCCCGATATTTCAGGAGGCAGGAGGTGTGACTGGGTCAGACAGAGAGTGCAGGGGGTAACCCTAGTTGATTTTCGAACTAAAGTACGAGGTAGTGTACAAGCGGTATTTAAGTATAACGGAATGAATGGAATTAAGTCGCCAGATCTCACGGAGATTGTGGGTGGGGTTAAGAAGAAACGAAAACAAACAAAAGGGTGTGGGAGAAGGACGGCCGTGTACGGCCGTCAAGGAAACAAGCGTGATAAAGAAAGACTCGTAGGCCCGTGATGGGCCGTGGAAACAGGTAGTGGTGATGGGGAAGGGTGACGGGCTTGTTCAGGCGGCGTCGGGCGGGCAGCGGAGTTGACGGGGTCGAAGCGGGGGAGGGAGAAGGTGTGGGGAGTGATCACCTGACCGTGGGAATTGACAGGTCGTGACACCTACTGTGGGTAAGAAAGTGAGAAGAAGGTTAACTTCTCACTTTCCCACAGTGGCCCAATATGGCGAAAACTTCCGGGGATACCCGGAAGTCACATGAAGAGTGGGAACCGGGCCCGGAGCATGCGGCGCGCAGAGCATGTGGGGCAGAGTGCACATGCGGGTCCGGGTCCGGGTCCGGATCCGGGCTAGTCAGGGTGTGTGCCCTGACAGTCTTGGGAACCTTAATGCTAAAATATGGACATTCTGGGAGTCGAACTGCAGAACCCTGCATAGGTACCAAGAGTGTGTTACCATTACACTAAATGCCTGCATTAGGCAGAGGTGGTTTCTAACACAAGTAACATGTCTGTGCCCTAACTTACTAACTGGCAACCAGAACTAAAAGGGGGTAAACTCTAGTTGATTTTATTACTGAGGTGTAACCTATTTACAAGTCAAGTATATATAGTTACAGTGGGGGTGGGCCTGTAAATGATGGGGCCAAGCGGAGCAGAGCTAATGGGGTTAAACATTAGCCGATTGAATATTACCGACAAGTCGGGTTACAGGGTTAGCGGAATGGTAGGCAATAACCCAGAAACAGAAAGGAGGGCTTGTGTTAGAAACTGGCAGAAACAGACGACTCCGGAGTGGAATCAGAGACTTAGCGTGGAGGGACCTTGGCCTCAGCGACTCAAGCAGAGCGCTGTGCCATTGCTGTTTGTCCATTTGGTCCTTAATTTCACAGTAGGCGAGCAGGAAGTCTCTAGGGGGCATTTCGGGTTGATTTCGGACTGAGCCCCAAACGAGTATGTACAAGCGCCGATATATATAATGGAGGGGGCAAAAGCACAAGGAGACAAAGGGGATCCGAATTGGAACGAAGACGTCCGAACGGGAACAAAGGGTAGACAGAAGCGGAGCGGTACCGAAGGTCATAAGGCAGGACCTGTGATATGTCCGAAAGGAGGTAGGGAGGGCGAGGCTCAGAGGGGCAGGAGGATGAGGAGAAGTGGGGATGATGACTAACTGGCTAGAATGGGAAGAAGCAGCAGTCCAAATAGGGATGAGGGGAAAACGCGAAAGATACATTACAAATGGCGAAAGTGCCGAAGGCGATCCGCGAAGCTCGGAGGTTGCGGAGCTTACGGAGGTTACGGAGGCGGGGTTGAAAGTCCGAGGAATATTGGCAATGGTGTTTATGTAGTATGAGGTCACCAATGCAATGGACTAAGACCGAGGTGGAGTCAAAGTCCAAGGTAGGGGCTATGACGGAGGCTCGGAGCAAAGATACGAGCGGTGCCCAAGTACGAAGTACGGGACAGCAGTGGAAGGTCGTAACTTGGTGGGGGGTCGGTGGAAGAGTACCAGAGGGAGGAGAGAGGAGAAAGGTAAGAGAGAAGGAGTGGCGGGAAGGAGAGTTGTCAGGTCCGAAGGTGAGTATCGGAGCGGACGGGGGAAGCGTAGGAGGGTGATGGAAGGGTGGAGGTGTTGTGAGGGAGGAGCGGAGTAGGAGGAGGAGTAGTAGTAGGAGGGTGGCAAGAGAGGTGGTGTTCGGTCCGAGGTGAGTATCGGAGCGGACAGAGATAGGGGAGGAGATGGAAGGAGGAGGTCTGGGAGTCGGGTCGGGATCGGGTATGCACAGATATGACAGCTTGCAGGGCAAGCGAGTGTATTGCCCAGCGGAGGCAGGAGTGCGCTAGCAGACGTTGGAGCTGTCCGGAAGCCTTCGGGGCTCCGTACTTAGGGAGGCATAGGTAATAAATTGAAAGGAGGGGGTGGTGACCATCAAGGGATCCCGAGGATATTGCAGAATATGGGAGCTCTGAGGTTAGTGAAGAAGGAGTGGAGGTGGTCCAGAGGGATCGGAGGTAGTGGAAGTTGATGGCCATGGATGGATATGACAGGTATAGAGTTTAACAGCCTATACCGGCATGGTCAAACAGGCGAGTTGTGTAATGGTAGCACACTGAGAGGTCCTGGTTTCGATGCCAGGCTTGTCCATGATTTTATGTCCTTGTCTTGTGACCTGAACTGTATCATTCAGTTGGGTCTCATGGAGTAAGTCCCGTGGGGCAACGTGAAATTTCTTCAACTCCTACTCAAAAGAAACAGTCGGAGGTTGGAACTGAAAACAGACATCTTAACAACCAAGCTAGTACGTAACCCTCCATCAGGACCCCTCGTGAACAGCTTGCCGCTGCCCTGGTCCTGGAGGGAGAGAAGGCTGGGTCATTGATCATGGCACGAGTCATGGTTGTATGAGGCACTTCATTCAGCAAAGTGTCAAGTCGGAGCTGAAGATGCATGCCAACCAACCAGCTTCCTGTTGCTGGAGCTCAGTTCCCGAAGCTGAAGCAACTTGGGAACCCCCTCAAACAAGCAGATCAAACCTGGGCAAGGTCAAACCACACATCCTCCCCAATCCATTCACAAGGATCCTAATATTGGCCGCTCCATCTAACATTACAAGCGTCCCCTTAAACGAGAACGCCAATGAATCATACTTGAACACCATGAACATCGCATTTTTGAGTTGCGTAGAGAAGGACTTCTTCTGCGAAGGATCCTCCTGCAGGAGTATGCCCGTAGCTACTACTCTCACGAGAGCATCAGAAGATGCAACGAGCAGCTTAGCAAAAGCCAAGCTCAAAACCTTGATAGGACTAATTCACTATGCTTCTAGACACAGGCGTGATCCTCCTCCCGATCCTGAGTTTCGTATCTATCACTTTTGCACTGAAGAACGGGCTCAGCTGCGGCCACACCTGGAGACCCTTCCCATTGCACGCTGTAACAGCACTTCTATCTGACACCTAGACTTCCCTACGGCTCCTCGGTCACATAGTCGTGTTGATCATCTGGTGGTGAATCGTGTTATCCAATGTACTGATGAAGGTAATGCTTCCACGAGTATTATTTCTTTGTCGACGAAGCATAAGGTCTCGCTGGGAGATGATAAATCCAATGATGATGTCCTCGAGATGTTTCAGGGCTGAATCCTCGATGTTCAAGAAGAAATATTGGCCTTCTCTGCTCAAAGATGCGAGTAATCGGCGGGGTGAGCTTGAATCATAAAGCTGGCAGCCGAGGAGGGAGATGCTAAGCTCAGCCGCCAGGGAATGCATGGAGGCTATATTCACCGACCTCGATATTCCCGGAGTTTGTGGACCATTTCCAATTGCCTTGTGATGTTCTGAAGATACGAGACCTGGCAGGATATGTTAGGTCCGGGAGAGATAGAGCTTTTTTTGTTTGTTCATACGTGCTTGGCCACCCCTTCTTTGGCACGTACTGATCAACCGGAATGTCGCTATAGTTTGGACGCACGAGCATGTCAGGACTTATCGAGCACCATTTCAACGTTGCAATTGCCTCCAAAGGCGGTTCTCTTGAAGGACCTACGCGTGAAAGGATAGTTGGATTAGGTCGAAATAGATGTGTAAATGGAGTTTGAATTGTGTAGATGTCAGCCCCATCCTCTCCACGCAGAGTCGTGTGGCTCAGGTCATTCGTTGTAAATCGCAGCAGCATGTAATTGAACGTCGGTAAGGGGTGGCTGGTTTGTGAGTGGGTGGATAAGCTTCGCCCATCAATGGAACAATCAGCCTTATATGAGATCTACTAACGCTAAGATCGTGCCTCCTTTGTGAGCCTGACACAAGAAAAGGGCGCTGTATTCCAGCGTAAAAAGCTGGACTGACGAAAAAACTGTGCTTGGACTTTCTACAGCGCAAAGGTCCCCTAACGTGAAGCCGACCGCGGCAATCGGTTTCGGAAGTGAAATAATGGTTTGACAACCAGTACGGACGGTCCATGTTTGTCCATCATCGTCATCCAGAAATCCAGTTGGGATACACTTCAATTGAATGCGATTCGGTATCAGTGCTCCTCGATGCGTATTGTAGAGAGTGATTAAATTAGGGGTGCCTGTCGTAGAGCACTAACACGGATATCATGGCATGGTGTGGGAGGCGCGCGCTAACCTTCTTCTGTCAGGTGGAAGTCGAACAGCGTCAATATTTATTTGCTCTGTCTGTGTCATGAAGGCAACGCATCGAGCAGACTGTGTAATATTAGACCCTTGCACAGGAGACCCCAAGCGGATTGCATGTGTAGCGACACAACTTTTCTCCAGCGCTTGATTTGTGCATAGGTCCAGACAGCGCACCGCCGGCGGAATAAGGATTCCGGAAGATCAATCGCTGAGCGTTTCGAGTGCGATGAAATGCTACTTAAGACGTGCTGGGCAAGCGATACCAAATTGCGGTTCCGTCGCTGGTTGCAACAGATATAGAGGAAAGCCAACAAATATTGCCGGGTCGAGATTCTAGGGCCTGAGATACTAGACTTTGGGGTGGATCGTCGCATTCACTCTTTCGAGCATGTCACCCTAGGTCCTTACAATAGAGCAAGAGGCAATGCCAGCATGGAAGATGAGTCAAATGATCCGAGGGGTATGAATACGGCATTACCAGGTGCTAATATTTAAGATGAGGAAGGCTCTATATATGTCCAAGCCACAACTGAAGTGCTTTCCGCAACTGTTGCCACACAGTTACTCAGTTCTTGTGTGCCCCATGATCGAACGCGGGGGCTACGTCGCCAAGAAATTGTGTTCGGCATTCATAGAACACTAAACCACACTTCGGTTCTTCCGCGATGACAGTGTCCATCGAAGGGAGTGTGGCGTAGTCCCCCAAAGCCAAATTCTCATTTACCCCCTCCCCAAGGCTTGCGACTTCGAGATAGCCGATGAGAATGGCGACAATGTATTCAGCGGTGGGTTTTTCGTTGACAACGTAAAATGTGTAACGGGTTCGAAGGCTTGAGTTTTCTGTCCTAGAGGCGCCACTCGTTATCAGACCTTTGCGCGTTATGAAGCACGGTAACGAAGCATGAGTGAGGAATAAGTGCTTTCGTGGTGATACCGAGGCGCACAGCGCGATCGCATCCGGACTGCACCGAAAAACATGAGACGGAATGGCGGAGAGCGAGAGCTAGAAAAAACCTTCTGAGCTGACGCATAGATGGCATAGGGATAGGGCGAAGGTTGGTACTTACCAAGTTTGACCCACTTATGCACTGGATGGATTTCCGGCCCAGGAGAAATGTCTGTAGGGCCAGAGATAGGATGGGCGAGGATTGATCATGACTTCGACTGGCTACGTGTTATCAGAAGCCCAGAGTCTGAATATTAGACTTGACGCGCCGTGAGCCAATTGTGTGCTATCGGCTAGAAAGTCGTGACCCGCGTTTGGAAGCCAACCCAAAATTGATTTGCGGCAACTAGCGTGCGCCGCGTGAAAGCGCGCCTTCGGTGATCACCCAACATTCCATCCTGATTGTCCAAGTTGCCCTGTCACGGCTAGAAGCAAACCTGTGGCTCGGCCAACTTGACCCCATTTGGGATAGAGAACTGATACAACTCAGTCTCGCCGACTTCGCCCTATTTATTTCTACTTAGCTCGGCAGCTAGCGGGGTCATTCCTCTTATTTGAACTTGCCTCTGAGGCATGCGCCCCCTCCTGCTCTCGATCGCGGCTAGGGAAGTTCAACATGTCATCGTTTTTGCTTTGATATATAGCACGCTCCCGGCATTTGGCAATACTTTGCTTGTTCTTTAGGCCCGATCAAGTCATTAGAAATATCTTTATAGGTAGTCTATGTCCGTTCCCGTCTAAGGGAGCCGAAATGACACAGGGTCACGCTTGCCTTGGCTGCAAGCCTCCCTCGCTACTTCGATTCATTGTAGAAGCACACAAGTGTTAACTAGTAGCACGCCGCTTCGTTTGACCCATTGCAATTGAGTACAAGTGTTGTGCAACTCACGTTGATCAATTATCCATTAACTTCCCGATTATGATAACCGGGGACCGGTAACCGCATGGTGCAATAGCTGCACCTGGATGCCAGGCTGTAAGTAACAGCACAGTGTGGCTAGGCATGACGTAATAGTAAGGGGCAACCGTTTGATATGATTCGACGCAGCAAACTTCAGGTAGCTGCGTTCGGCTGCTGATTGACCTAATTTTGCCTGTCCATTTTGCACATTGCGTTCGCTAACATCAATATAGCGCTTATCTTAGGAGTGGTAGAACCCGATGGATTAACGCCACAGCCAAAAGAGGACGTCGGAAAGCAGTAGTGGAACCATATATTATTCGTATGATGCAGGTGGCTTGTGACGTCTAGTACACGTAAACTCACTGGTTGCTCAACTCGAACCCGTTCTTGATGACGGCCACTCATTTGAGCGTCCCGGCGCTACTAGATGAGATGTCCTGAAGCAAATTCTCCACTAGACGCTGCCATACTGTTCCCCCTACGAACGGGGCCCCTAGTGTGGCCACTGATGATGCGCCATTGGTGAGTATCCTATCATTCCCAATGTAACCTCTGCATTAAATAGGACCCCAGTGGCTACAGCCTTGCCGGATGGGACAAGCAGGCGCCGTCCCTCCGCATTGGGAAAACACTGCACTTCCACTCAGCGGATCAATGGACGGTGGAAAGAGTCGTCTTCCTGTTAGGAGAGCACTCCATGCGGAACCTCGTTGTCTTGATGTCATTCCAATTTGCCGAGTTCCTTCGACATCCCTCCTTCACTCCACACCTGCAGCTTTTGGCAGTCCAGCCGGTCTTGGCACCGCCTCTAGCTCTATTCAGCGCAATTTCTGTATCAGGAGTTCAAACGCTGGTGTTCTCGCGGCTGACAATGGCACACCCACTCCATTCTTGGGGTCGGTGATTGGGCAACCCATCCCAACGCTTTTCACTCATACCAAGTATTTGCTCGCTCTTCCAATTTGGTTTACCGCTTGAAAATTCATAAACACGCCTCACTCAGCCCTCTATCTGGTATTACGAAGTCATAGAGGCCGGAGTCCTACCTAACTCGACTCTTCAACGCTTCGAAGTTTATATACGTACTGTTGGAGCAGTTTTATCTTAATATTTAGATTTTATCCGTAGAGATAAGGGTGCCAGCCTAGAAGCGTGATGATCAGGTGTGTCTCGCACAGCTACCGCATTGCGGCGGTATCGCAAGTTCTAGAAACCACCACTGCAGAGGATGTCACTTTTGCGCCCTAGCAATTGGCGCACAGGTGCTGTTCTTGGCCTGTGTTTACGCACACCACACCCATCTGCAACATGTCTTCAGCAGCTTCTACCACCGACTTGGGGGTTGGGTTGGGTTGGGTTGCCGTTGTTTACCCATGCCGATTTTAAGGTCGAGATTGCGTGTACCCATTTCTACACAATCGGTGAGAAATATCTGTATGCCAGTTGCGCAATATAATAATATTCATGTCGTCTTTAAAGTAAACATGGTCCACTCCATTCAGCCTCTAAGCCGTCCATCGGAGCCATTTCATCGTGGTGGGCAGCTAGCGGGCACGTACGTGCACGTTGAATCCCAAGCAATAAAAGACAAGACCTACTGACCGGATCAAGAAACCAATTCATTACTTGCCGCGCGGTTCAACGCTGTCTTACCCGTTAAGTACGTCCACAATAGGCGAGGAGCAGATATCATGTGAGAGCTCTGCCACCAAACACACGCCCCTTTGTGGTCGCTTGCGACACCATGCCCAGAAACCGTAAACCCCGCTCGCAGTTCAAGAAGTCACAGCGCGCTCCTGAACTTCCTGATGGTTCGCCGCAGGCCCCGTCCCCTGGTCCCTCTATTCCCAACCCTCAGATCCCTGCCAGAGCGCCTACTCCATCGCCTCCTAGCAGCCCCCCTCGGGGTCTGAAGCGGCGGGCGCCTTTTGCCTATCGCGTGTCCAAGTTATTGCGGAGGGACCCCTCCCATCGCAATCGTTCCGACCAGCCAGACACTCCCCATCCCAACCATCCTATTCTCACTTCACCCCCCCACCCATCCTCAACTGATCCATCGCCACCACGACGTCCGCTTCCTGTGGAAATGGGCTTTGATGGCCCACAGGCGATGCCCAGCACACGCTCCATTCACAACGCCAGCGTCCTCACGCATCAAGAACTTGGGGCATCAGTCCCGGCTACTTCATCGGTCCCAGCGGGATCCACGCCTCGTAGCTCCGATCGAAAGAAAACGATCATCGCCGGCACCAAACTCCTTCTCCAAACCGCAGTCACTGCTCTCAAGTTCTCCCCCATCAAGAATCTTGACCAGGTCCCGAACACGCTTCTTACGTGGATCAGCATCTACGAGGTCTGTGAATCATCTTGATGATATTATTGGGCGTAATTTCCTCATGCACGTTGCATGCAGGATTTCAAAGGCAATGCCGAGGATCTCAAGCAGTTGTGCGTCGTGATCGAGCAAGCACAAGACTCGGTGCTCGAGCTCCATAAGTGGACTGGAGAAATCCCTCCCGAGCTTGACAGCCTAGTGCAAGAAATTCGCGTGTACGTGCTCGTCTTCCTCTTGTTCGCATTCACCCATTTCCTTTACAGGGCTTTGGAGAAACAGGTGGAGGACATCAAAGCGGTCCAGAAAAAAAGCATCGTCAAGAGGGCCATTCTAGTGCGCGAGATAGCACGACAAATAACCAGTATGAAAAGGTGCTTGGATGATGCTATTCATCGACTCCAGGTTTGCATGCTTCAAGATTGCTTGAATGATTCAAACCTGACTGTTTATGTCTGCCATAGCTTAGGATATCGACTTTAGCCCTGCTTCGCATCGAGCGTTTATCGGTTCATTGTATGCGTCTATGTACATGCATCAAGGCTGCTTAATCACCCCCAATACTTCTAGCTGAGCTATCGAGACTCAAGCGGGCCCCAGCCGAGTACACGTGTGTGACGAGCAAATCAGAGTGTCTTCCGGGCACACGCGTCAAGGTACAAGAATCCCTAATCAAGCACCTAAGGGAAGGCGAGAACCGGTTTGTTTGGCTACGGGGATCTCCTGGGACGGGAAAGACTGCGATCTCTATGAGTATCGCGTCCACTCTTGAGAAAGAGGGCATTCTAGCGGCATCATACTTTTGGGATAAGAACCGGACAGGGTTGGGCTTGGATTCTATCGAACTGTTCCCCACTACTCTTGCCCGCCAACTTGCATCCTTCAACGAGGACTTTAAATTTTCGCTCCTCAATCACCTTCGGAAACCGGCCTTGGACTCTGTTCAGCATTTCCCTCTGCAACGACAAATCAATACTCTGATAATCGACCCGATGCGTGACTTGAAGGACATCTGGTCTTCGAGCAAGGATCGCGTCGTTATCGTCCTGGATGGCCTTGATGAGTGCGGAGATCGGGAGAGACTCGGGTCCCTATTGGAACTGGTTCTTGCCTTTCAGGAGCTGCCACCGATATTTTCTGTGCTCGTTAGTTGTCGTCCTGAGCCAGGGGTCATTTCAGCTTGGGATAAAGCTCGGGCAAGGGGTCATGTCATACTATGTGAAGATTTGGACAAGGCTCAAGTTGTAGTGGAAGAAGCTTTCCAGACGGTCCACCGTATGATGGAAGAAGGCCTTCAGCACCTCTTTGACAAATATTCGTGGAAACCAGACAAGGATGAACTCGACGCTTTTGCTCGGGCTTGTCAGGGGTTACCCGTTATGGCATCTCTCCGGGTTCGCGATGTTGTCCTGCAGACATGGCGTGGCCGGACCTTACAGTCGGTGTTCCGGGAGTTGCTAAACCTCACCGATGCACCTGCCAACCTCGACTGGGAGTACTTGCGAATTCTTCGACAAGCCTACATGCTGAATTCATCTGGTATTCACCCAGATGTAGCCGAGAAGTATCGCTTAGTGGTGGGTGCGATTGTTGTGGCGCATGAGCCGATGAGCGTCTCTTTTATGTCACAGCTTTTCAACATTGGCGAAGACGAGATCCGTGCGACATTAGAACCAATCAGCTCCATCGTCAATCTTCCCTTAAGTAATGCAGAGGATGTCACCTTATATCATGCAACGGCAAAAGAATTCATCACGGGGGAACCAATTGGCGATGAGAAGGACAAAGTATTCTTCATTGATGACGTGAAAGGGTATTTCATGGGATTGCTGCAGACTCAGTGCCAGTCGCTCACGTGAGTTTCGCCGAAGTATATCCGAATTTTTCGGCGCGGCGAAACTGCGTAAGCGACTGGCGCAATATGTTGTTATTGTTTGTTTAACTCGAGTTCTTTGGCCTCGATAATCACACCAATATTTATTATATTTTCCGTCAGATAATGGGTGACGAGCGCGGGGAAATTCGTTTATAATTAATTAAAGCCTATAAAATACAATATATCGAGCTAGCTAATGAGAGGATCATTCATGGTAGATGACGCAATGGCACTTGAGGTTATAGCATTCTGCTTTGCGGGACAAAATTTATTGCGTTCTGTCAAGGATAGATTGGTGTTAGAATTGTCCAAGTGGGAGGAAAGCAACGTACGTGTATGACCTTCTACCTTGCACAGCTTGCATTTGTAAGGGGCCCGTTGAGGTGCAGCGACGGTAACATGTTGCACAGGGTTATTGGGCGGCAGCGACTCTGTCTTGAGTTTGGATGAAGGGATTTCGGGGGGGGGAGCGATGGAGTGCACCAAGTTGAGGATTTTTTCGGCATGCTTCATTATGAATGGTCGTTGTGCACCCCGGATGTTATTCGAAATATCATCGACAGTGCGCAGTGCATGAGCGTGGGAGAGATGACACAACAACTCGACTATTTCATCTGAGATCAGAGCAGCAGGGCCAAGGAAGTGGTCCCTTTTGCCACCCCAGAACTCAGCGTGGACTTGTTGCCTCCATCCAACAAGCCCTGCCTTGAGCCGCTTGTCAGTCTCGCCGCGGGTGTAATCGGTCACGACCTTCACTCGGTTTGGTCTCCTTGATCTCTTTGGTGGGGAGTCGAGCGCATTCATCCCTTCAGTTCGCTTGGGATCGCAGAGGTCACAACAGGAGAGGCAGGGAGGCGGAGTGCAATGCGGACAGCAAAAGGGTTCAGGCCCTGAAAGCCCCACGTGAGGAAGACTCGTGATGCAGTTCAATGTTGTCACTCACTGAGTCGTACGTTATCATAGACATGATCCAGGACTTTTCGCCTGCACCCACGTTGAGGATGGCTCTCTGGGAGCATGTCAGCATACAGAAATTCTGCAACCGAGCTCTCGATATTCTCGTACTTCGAGTGGCGGCCGCTTTTGTGTGGTTTGGACGACTTTGTTTTGTCACCCCGAGGTATCTGTGCCCCTTCGGGATTGGTTGGGCCATCAAAAGGATAATCCATTAGGTTCTCCTCTTCGTTGCTCTCAGCGCCATCATCGTCATCGTCATCCTGAAATTCCTCATCTGTCCTCTGTGCGTTGACTGATCGGACTTGAGCACGCTCCAGTTCTGGGAGAGGAAGGTCTACAAGTGCGTCGGAAGGGGGGCCATGGGGCTGAGAGTAGGGGAAGTTCCCCTGATCTCCCAGTGCGGCGCGCTTCCGTGCAACACTACTCACCGGGCCATTTTTGCGTTTCAGATTGGGACGCAGTGAGGCTTCAAGATCGGCCTTTCTCTTATCAACTCTTGGCTTTGAGAAATAAGCCTTCTCTGCAATCAAGATGGCAATCGCTTGGATGGAGCCATCACGACCTGCCCGACCGAAGCGCTGAACGAGTGTATCGGGGCTCTTGGGAACTCGCCACTGAACCACGACTTTCACTTGGCGTAAGTCAAGACCCTAAGTAAGTGTCATTAGCATTCATTGGATGCATAGCAAGGGTTCGTCTCACCATACCGCAGGCATCTGTACAGCAAATCCCCCATATTTTTCCCAATTTATACTTCGCTTCAACGTCCACTTTGAACGTGTCTGACATTCCAGAATGATACCACACAACCCGATCTCGGTGACTCTGTGGCAAGCGAGATCGCAAGAATCTGGCGGTTCGTATTGTATCAATGCGAGAATTGCAGTATACCAAGAACGGTGAGATATTTGCATCTATCCATGCCTGATCATCTACCTTTGCATCCAGTGGAAGCAGGAAAGCCAGATCAAAACAGCTTTGGAGTGTAAACTTCATTGGGCGGACGGAAAGGTGAACATTCGGTCTATCATTCGATCTTCGGATGATTTCAGTGCCGCAGTGCAAACCGGAAATCTTCAGCATGTCTGTTAGAACATGCTGGCGGAGGGTGGCAGAGGTGAAGAAGAATGAGACGCTATCTCCGAGTATGGAGAATAGTCGTCCTATCTGTATGTAAGCAGATCTGAAGTCTCGGCCCCACTGACTGATACAATGTGCTTCGTCAAAGCAGATACGGTCAACCTTCTTCTGAAATTGGGGGTCAAGCCAAAGAGCCATGAAACGTGGATCCACTATCAGTTCGGGTGATATGACAACTGTACGGAACTTCCCCAGCCGAATATCCTAGGTGAACCCATATGAGCGCTGACTGAAAACCTTGGTTGATTGTCTTACTTTAACCAGTCCAGGCTTTTCACCAAGCAGTTCTGCGGTGATTGACACAGATGGAAACCCTTTCTTGATGGACTCATTGGACAGCTGGCTTCCAAGACTCTTTAGTGGAGTCACTATGAAAGTAATCCCCTTTTCACGCAACATAGGCAACCAAAAGGTCATTGTTTTTCCTGAACCTGTTGCCGAGATTGACACAACATTTCTCTTGGCTAGTAAGCTTAATGCTACCATACACTGCCAAATGCAAGCGCGAACATGGAACTGGGTTTCGCTTTCATCCTGGAGCCCCTTGATATCTGACCCTATGGAGGGAAGAGCGGTGGGTGTCATAAATGGATCGTGGCTTGGGATTATTGATTGTCCGGGGAATGCCGAGTCAATGGGTTCCCGCGCTTGTCACCTCCGCCTGCCCAATCCCATACCACTAGAGTTGTGAGTGTCTTTGAATGCTACAGGGCATCAAAGTCACTAATTGTTAACCCCATTCCTCTGGGCTCGTCATGTGCCGGATCCCTTTCGATGGGACTGTCCTCATCATGGTCATCATTATCCTCCCTGTGAGCTTCTTCTCCACCTACATATGATTGGGCCCCTTTGAGAAGAACGTTGAGAACTTCTATTTTAACCATAGTATGTGGTCCTCTTATTCGCTCTTGAAGCATTTGAAGCATGACTTCCATTTTTGCCGGGGCATGTTGTGTACCCCGGTGCTTGATATAGAAGTTCTGTTCTATATTGACATGTACCATTCGGTAGGTCTCTATCAGCGAAGACTGGTTGATAATGTGGGTAAGTGTCCTGTTCGAGCTTGAGCCACCAATGATGACCTGAGGTAAGTGAGTCACTGTCTGACTGAGAATATGCGGGTTCACCTGCCTTTGTATACAGATTGTTTCGCTCGACAAGCCAATCTACACCTCTAAATCCATCTGGTCGACCTGATGGATTGCATACCCAGTGGGATCGGATTACTTGGGCCAGGCGGGCAGGGTAGACTGAATGCAGATTGCGAAGAAATTTCGCGAGGTGCGCCGCATATTTATGCTTCCCACAGCCTGAGAACATCAGCACCCATAACCACAGAAGATCCTCCATCGCGCCTATCGCGCCAGTGTTCATTGCATGTGCCAACATGCAGTACCACAGGCCATCACGTCGAAATAGTAAGTTGCCTTCTTCCAAATAATCTCGTGGATCCTCACTCTGTCGTCGCACCTCGGATATCCATCCTGCAATCTTCTCCTGACAGATCTTCTTTGAAAGAGCAACAATTTCCGACCATGATGGATCACTGTCGGCGAATTCCTTCAAGTCGGAGAAACCAGTAGCTTGTTCCCAACAAACCAGCAAGTGTGAACTTGTGAGGTGTAGGATTCCATCATTCAGCATGCGGTAAGTTGGGTTACTTGCAAGTTTCGATGAGTCTTTCGGCCGGAGGATCTTGAACTGATCAAAGATGCCACCCCTGACTTCACATAGTGCCTTCGGCTGAATGTGAACTCGCCAGATGGCATCTACACAGGCCATACGAATATGGAAGCCACCAGGTATAGTCACAAGGAACTGGAGTCGTTCCTGTGGTGTGGATTCAATCGCACGCGACTCTGTTGTCGCATCGTGCCTTTCTTGCATACCCAGGTCACCATGACACAGCCGGACGAAGGAATGGTACCATTCTGGGCTTGTTCCAGCCTGCCGTTCAAGGCTCTTCACTATCGCAATATTATCGTCGTTCACTGATGCCTTCAGGTGCATTGCTCGAGCAGGGTACTGCACCGTCTTCTCTGGTACGTCCAATGTAAATGAGGATGGCATCTTTCCAAGCTCACCCTTGTATTGCCCAAGGTAGTTATCGACAATTATCTTCTGTGTAAACCATTCCATTCCTTGCAGCACACTGTCCTGCCGCTCTTGGATGCGCTCAAAGAGATATTGTCGGTCAGGTGTGGCAGGAGGTCTCGAGTCCTTGGGATTATCTGGATTAAGGGAGCTCTTCTCCCAAAGCTCCTTCGAGTATCGGAGGTCATCAAGCGTGGTACCATAGGTGAGTGGAATAAAGGTGGCTGTTGTTATACTTGAAAACGTCCCTTGGTTCTGATCACCGGGCTCTTTCGTCTTAAAGTCGAAGTCCAGATTTTCATATGCCATCGCATACAACCCGGGGTCTGAGAGCTTCTTCAAGCTTGCTTTGAGGCTTTCGGTCACTGACTGAACCATATGGCAGATAGACTCCGCCGATACACTCCACCCTCCACGTGAGAGTACTTCAATGACTCGCCTTGGTGTGTTTGTGGAGTCAAGGAAGAAGCCTTGAATGGCTTGGAATGCATTGCATCTTTGGCTTGAACTGTTTGCCAAGATCGAAAGGATCGCGACCCCTTTCTGTGTGCGCCGGTAAGTCATAAGTTTGATCCAGTATTGTTAACTCACTACTCTCAGAAGTGCCGCGTTACGTCTTTTTGCTCGAGTACGACCATTCCTCTTGCTCTCTTCCTCACTGCTACTCTCACTATCGCTGTTGCTTTCACCTTCCCCAATCACATCATCGCCATCTGCCAACTCGCCAAGATCTACATTCGGGTCATGTCTTGTCCGATAGTCAGCCACCTCTCTTGATGGCTTTGCACGTCGTCGTGCTTCTCCGTTAGCATCAAGGAGCGACTGTACTAAGGCCCAAGTCTTCGGAGTCACACAACGGAATTTATCGATCATTTTCTCAAGGCTAAAGTTTGTTACATTGTCCGCCGTTGCACTGTGGGCATTGAAGTGTAAGCCATGTATGCTCTGAATAACTGTCTTGATCTCATTAACATAGATCCTCTGAGACAGATCCAAAGCCCAATTCTCCACTGCGTTACCTGTCGCTTCAGTCCATAACCGGGGATCACGACTTTCTAGCAACGCGATGAGAAAATTCGGTATCGTTTGCAGTGATGAGCTTTCGATTAGATTGATGATCTCGAGGAGTGCTTGTGACATCCAAGGTCAAGAACTAGATACAAAGTGTAGGATTGTTTTATAGATGCAACCCATCAATCATCTCCATTATCTGACGGAAAATATAATAAATATTGGTGTGATTATCGAGGCCAAAGAACTCGAGTTAAACAAACAATAACAACATATTGCGCCAGTCGCTTACGCAGTTTCGCCGCGCCGAAAAATTCGGATATACTTCGGCGAAACTCACGTGAGCGACTGGCACTGAGTCTGGGATTGCTGCTCCTTCGACCCTTCAACAATTATTGTGAGCAGGATGGGTTCGGAATACCTAAACCCCCTTTAGGGGCTAAAAGAATATGGAAGGAATTTATGGTGAAAAAGGAGGAATATTGGTGGCGCTTCTCCTATGTTATTAAACACTTACTCAAACACTTGGACCCTTCGCAACTTTTTTCACAAGAGTCCAATGAATTGCAGAACGAGTTTAATTCCTTCATCACGCAAAAATACATCTTGACTTTCATGCACCTGCAACTCTTTATGTTCAAACATTATGAGGAAGGTACTTTATTTCCTGACGAATTACTTCAATTCGATGTAAGTACAAACTATTCATCCAATGCTTGTCTGATGTCATTTTGATAGAATCACAATTCAACCCAACTTCTGAGAGGTTTAGACGAGCTAGCTTCCATTGCCGCTTATGAACCATGGGAACTCTATCGATCAAAGCTTCATTTCGCCCCACCCTCCATTTACAAACAATATGGCCATCTTGCTGATCCTGTCCGGATCTTCTCCGCTTTTGGCGAGTTCTCTGGTGGCACCATTCCATTAAGCGAGGATTTGCTTAGGGCGATCAACGAATCAGACAAGGAAATCAATGGAGCGGATGAGGAGAGTGAGGAGGCAGACGAGGAGACTGACACAGCAGGTGAGGAGACTAACAAAGCAGATGAGGAGACCCTCAAATTGGATGAGAGCATGATCGATTATAAGCTTAACATCCATGTTCGCAAAATTTTTGTGACGTGTGCTGCACTCTCCCTTGATGGTTGCTATATTGCACTCGGATTTGACAATGGAATTATCGAAGTGGCCGATATCGACCACCAGCGCACGATCTGCCAATTGCAGCGCAATCCAGCCATCCCCCCAGCCTGGATCGAATTTGTCCATGGCAGCCACCGAGTCGCCACTGAAGATGTCGTACGTAAAATAATGATCCTCGCCGATGGTATGACCCCTGTGAACCTTGGCATCCTTTCCCACTATCCAGCTGGAACCACAGCCTCAAATAATGGATTGTTTGTCGTGCGAGTCCAACGAAGTCTTGATAACCCTTGGTATGACAACATGACGCTCATATCTGTTTCTGGGGATCCATCTATTCAGCACCTTGCCTCGCCTCCTTTCTCCCCATCCTCTCAATCCTCTAGGTTAGCTATTCCTCACCGCCAGATGCTTGGTTTCTCTCCAGGAGCACATTATGTTGGTGCATTTGATGGGACCTGGGCCGTTACCTGGTCAACGGAATCATGTCAGTGCATTGCAGGTTATCGGGTGACAAACTTCGAGTATTGGATTATTAATCCTAACGTCCCTCCGACATGCTCATATCTCATCCCTGATCCTATATTCACTCAAGCCACTCTTCCCTTGGCAGAAGGCTCCACAGCTCGTGCCCATCATTCCGACGCGGATGTGGGGCATGACTCTGATGAGTCCTGGATCAAGCGTCCATTTTACGACCTCTCGCCAAGCAGAGAGGTTTGCCTTGACCCTGCCGCTACGAGAACCCCACTAATCGATAACCAAGCATCAGTGTGGCTCAATGGAAGACTAGAACTCGTGCTCCCACGGGCATATGGATCGATTAATGATCTTCAGGATGCTTGGTACGGTCATCGAGTGCCAAATGATCATCTGGAGCCCTACCGCCCTCAGTCCAGCAGGGATGGAACTCGATTTCTAGTACAGAGAAAGTTACGGACCCCAATTGTTGTAGATATTAGCCAAGTTGTTTAGCATTTGCCAGTGTGCTCGTTATTACTTACTCGACACCCTCCTGGCGATAAGGTTGGTGACTTTTGCGCTGCAACGCTATTTAGAATTGTGGACAGTCTCCGAAGCGTATATACCTGTAACGTTATGTAAGCTATGTTGTTGGTGGCAAGGGGTCTCTGGTATCGTGCGGAAGTACAGGAAGATGTAGCACCAAAACTGTGGATAAGGGGAAGACCGTACAGCCTCTTGAATAAAGATTGAAGAAAGTATTGCATGCTTATAGTACATGCTCAGCTTATGGGATGCACACACATCCGAGCCGCTGAAGGAGATAACAGTAATTCATGGATTTACATCGGTTGTACACAGGGTCACGCTTGCCTTGGCCGCAAGCCTCCCTCGCTACTTCGATTCATTGTAGAACCGCGCGCACAAGCGTTAAGTAGCACGCCGCTTCGTCCGATCCATTTCAAATCAGTACAAGTGTTATGGTAACTCACGTAGATCGAGATCACCACTAACTCCCCGATTATGATAGCCGGGGACCGGTACCGGCCGGGTACATAGGGTCAGGACCCCCAACTTTTGGCAGGAGAAAACAATCAGTCGCAGCTGAAGGGTCTTCTGATCAAGGTAGCGAATGATCTGTGGGTCTAGGTCACATCGTCGTTCGATGAATAGTAGCACAAGTTGTGTATCAAATAAGTAGGACCTAGACGCATGGAGACACAGACCCGTGCTGTATATATACCGTGTACCTGGTTTAGGCTAAGCACGATGCGATATCAAGGGGTAGCCGTTTGATACGATTCGACACAGCAGAGTTCATCATAATAAGTGGAAGAGAAGTATATAGCTGCGCTCGGCTACGGACATGTCTTAGCTAATTCCGCCTGCCCAGTTTCCACTTTGCGTTCGCTAACATTAATATAGCGCCAATGGTACAACCTGATAAATTAATGCCACTGCCAAAAGGGGACGTCGGAAGACAGTGGTGAGATTATCGTGTGGCGCAGGTGGCTTACCTTGTATATATACGTAACCCCACTAATTGACCGTAATTTAGTGGAGCGTTCCGGCACTAGAGCCCTCCTGACATGAAGCAGATTCAAGCCATCTCCATCGTCGGGTTTAGACGCTTTACTGTCCCCCAACCTCCAAGTATCGTTGGTCTGCAGTTCTATGTCTGGACACTGAAAGACCTGCTCGCTCATCGGAGCGAGGATATGGGGATTTTGAAGGCCCAGACGATATATGAGGCTGGCCAGGGGGGCATGACGTCCTGAGACCACTTATTACTAAGCTATTAGCCACATTGAGTCTATCCTCAACACGCCTCCCGCACCCCTCCGGGCACCCCGCCCCAGCTATTAGGATGTTAGCGATTTACGCTAGCGTTTTACGCTCAGTCAATCGTTGTTGAACTTATAGATTAGAACTAATTACCTAGCGTTTTACACTAGGGCATATGAAGATACATGAGTGACAACACAAACATGTGGTAAAAGCGTAGTCTCACCTCAGTCGATCGTTGTTGAACTGAGGGAGACGAAAGTGAAAAATTCTTCACTGCTTTTATAAGCAGTCGCCTCAATGGCGCACTGACTTTGGTAGCAGGAATACCAAGAAAGGAAATATAGCGCTGCTAGCTCAACATCACATTGTGAGTTGGCCACAGCACACTATAACTCCCAAGAAAACCAAGATTTCAACACACCCACTCGATGTGGCTACTCACACAGTCCCATCGCTGTTCTGAACTTCGAATGTTTGGCATATGCGAGAGCCTTCATCAATACGTCGGCTACTTGATCATCGGTAGGGATGTATTGTAAAGAAATCGTGTGATCTTCTACTTGATCGCGAATAAAGTGATGTCGGATGCCAATATGTTTCGTTTGTGTGTGAAATGCGGGATTGGTGGCAAGCGTGATGGCACCTTGATTGTCGACAAGGAGGGTGGTTGGGTCGGAAGGAGGGAAGTTAAGGTCGCGTAGAAACTGTTGAATCCAGAGCACTTCTTTAGTTGCATGGGTAACAGCCATATACTCGCCTTCGGTACTCGAGAGCGCCACCGACATCTGTTTCTTTGAACTCCAGCTTACCGCTGCTCCGGTCATGGTAAAAACGAATCCAGAAATAGATCGAGAATCTCTTGGATCTCCAGCCCAATCTGAATCGGAATAGCCAGTCTTGTCATTAGACTTCGAATTACCGTCGTAGACCAGTTTGAAATGTTTCGTAGCATTGAGGTAGCGTAGTAGACGATTGATAGCGGCCCAATGCCCTTCTCCTGGATTGGAAGAATATTGGCTGAGTATGGTGATGGTGAAGCTGATGTCTGGTTGAGTTCCTAGCATCGCGTACATTACTGAACCAATTCGGGATTGGTATTCGCGAGTGTTGATGTCAGGGTCAGAGGTTTCGTGGCGAGTGAGTTTGAGATTTGGCATCATAGGAGTCGAGACTGTATGAGAGGTGCTAAATCCAAAGCGATCGACAACCTCGGATATGTAGCGAGATTGAGAGACAAAAATTAAGCACCTTTGGCACTTGTCATATCCGTGCATACCCGACCCCGACCCGACTTCCGGACCTCCACCCTCTTCACCTCCGGAGTCATAACCTACCGCTGCCTTTCCGATACTCACCTTCGGTCTCGGCAACACACCCCTCCTCTTACCTCTCCGACCCCTTCTCCGTCCGTTCCGATACTCATCTCGGACCGAACATCGCCCTACTCGCCACCCTTCCTACAACTCCGCTCCCCCCTCACCACACCTCCACCCTCCCGTCATCCCCTACGCTATCTCTGTCCGTTCCGATATCCACCTTCGGACCTGACTACTCTTCCTTACCTGTCCCCTCTCTCATTCCTCCGCCACCCTTCCACCAAGTTACGACCATCCACCGCTGTTCCGTACTTCACACTCGGACACCGTTCGTACCTTACTCCGAGCCTCCGTCATAGTCCATACCTCGGACTTTGACTCCACCTCGGTCTTAGTCCATTGCATTGGTGACCTCATACTACGTGAACACCATTGCCAATATTCCTCGGACTTCCAACCCCGCCTCCGTAACCTCCGTAAGCTCCGCAACCCCCGAGCTTCGCAGACCGCCTCCGGCACTCTCGCCGTTTGTAATGTATTTCTCGCAATTCCCCCTCATCCCTATTTGGACTACTGCTTCTTTCTATTCTAGCCAGTTAGTCATCACCCCCACTTCCCCTCATCCTCCTGCCCCTCTGGGCCTCGCCCACTCTACCTCCTTTCGGATGTATCACAGGTCTTGCCCTATGACCTTCGGTACCGCTCCGCTCCCTCTAACCCTTTGTTCCCGTTCGGACGTCTTCGTTCCGATTCGGTCACCCTTTGTTTCTCCTTGTGCTTTTGCCCCTTCCTTATATATATCGGCGCTTGTACATACTCGTCTGGTTTCAGTCCAAAATCGACCTGAAATGCCCCCAAGAGACTTCCTGCTCACCTACTGTGAAATTAAGGACCAAATGGACAAACAGCAATGGCACAGCGCTCCGCTTGAGTCGCTGAGGCCAAGGTCCCTCCACGCTAAGTCTCCGATTCCACTCCGGAGTCGTCCGTTTCCGTCCATCTCTAACAGCACTTGCGCGTGATTTCCAGTCCAAGGAACCAATGAATTTCCCCCAAGTCCTTCATCTTAAATGTGGACATTAGCTGCTTCTTCTTCTTTCGAAGAAGGGGAAGGTGGTTGGAAAGGATCATTAAGTCATCGACATAAAGAGCGACGATGCAAAAATGAGCGCATTGGGAAAGAATGAAAACGGCGTGATCTGAATTCGAGCGGGAGAAGCCAAGTTTGTTCAGTTCGACTTTGGCCTTCTTGTACCACGCTCGAGAGGCCTGTTTAAGGCCATACAGACTCTTCTCCAATTTCCATATGATGTCTCTCCTCCCATAATCTGCTGAGCCAGGAGGCAGCTGCATAAAAATCTCATGTTCCAATTCCCCATTGAGGAACATGGTCTTCACATCCATTTGATGTATTTCAAGATCGAGACGGGCACCTAACGCGAGGAGGATTCAGATCGACGACCATTTGACCACAGGTGCAAATGTCTCCTCATAGTCTACCACGTAGATTTGGCTAAATCCCTTCGCCACTATTCTCGCCTTATACCGTTCTATTTCACCATCGGCCCCTTTCTTCAAAGCAAACACCCACTTACTCCCGACGACGTTGTGGGGATCAACTTCGTCTCTGCGCACAGGAAGGTAAGTACCTGTTTCCTTTAGTGCATTTAATTCATCGGTACACACCCCTAACCATGAGTCCGCATCAGGACAATCCATCGCCTCGTTGTACATTCGTGGTATTTTGATGCTCACTGTCATCGCCCAAGCGACATTCACTGAATCAGTGGAAGGTTGAGTCCGATTATAAGAAGATCTCTCATATCGGGGGTCGTCGTCTGGAATGGGTGCGTGGTGGATTCTGGTTGAGCGGCAGGGTAGGGAGTCCTGGACTACAGGTTCAAGTTGGAGCAGGGGTGAGTTTTCATTCTCTGCTTCTCCTACTTCCGACGTCCCTCCATTATCTTCCTCTCCTTCTTCTAGATCTCCATCATCATCATCTCTTTCTCCCGACTCTCCATCTTCATCTGCTGGAACGATTACGTGTGTCGGGGAGTTGTGAGACTTGACCTCGATCGTTACGCGTTCCGAGTTCTCCTCGTCGCTCTCAAAGAAATGGACATCTCTCGACTCGTGCAACTTTCAAGCCTTTGGATCCCAAATAAGAAATGCCTTCTTGCCCCAAGCTAATCCAAGGTGGATGCCGGGTTTAGAGCAATCGTCAAGTTTGTGTCGGAGGTCGTGATGGATATGGAGGGTTGCATTGCACCTGAAGGTACGTAGCATCGATACATTTGGCTTGTTGCCTGTGTACCTTTCATGGGGGGAGATGTCGTTGGGGAGCGCCGCATGAGGAGAAACGTTCTTTACGGACGTGGCGTGTTGGATAGCGTATGGCCAAGAGGTATG